AAAAAAAAAAAAAAAAAAAAAAATCACAGAGACTGATCTAAATCCATAAAAAGATATGGAAGGGGGTTCCGAAGCTTTAAAAAAATAAATAAATAAATAAATAAAATTGAGAAGCACTGAACTAGCTGGTGCCACTTAATGTGGCAGGGAGGGCCAGGAACTCACCCTGCTTTGCTCTGCTCTTTCCACTGTCTGGCCCCTCCTGATCTCATGGGGCAAGGGCAGCCCGGCCCCCACTGCTGAGGTTGCAGAGTCTTATACACCAGCAACCACCTCCATGGCCCCAAAAGCATGGGAAGAGTAGACAGGACAAACCAGGCTGCAAAGTGGGGCTCCACCTGACCACAATGTGTGGCTCAGAGTGTGGGGGGAGGTCAATCACACAGGCTACCTGGGGACAAGGAAGGCAGCGGCAGCAACAGTTGCTAGAGGAGCATGCTCAGGCCCTGCTGGAGTAGCTGAGGCAGGTGGTGCAGGGTGCCAGGCAGGGGAGGAAAAAAAACATTTACATCCTCATACATGGTGATCTCACAACACTTCCATTACTCTAAGCAGCATACTAGCGTGCCATAAGGTGCACCCTTTGGGAATAACTGCACAAAGTGCAACACAGACAGTATTTGATATATGAACTGTTCTTTGCAGATTGTCAGACAAGACAGAAATTAAGAAGCAAATGTTTGTTATTGAGAGAGGTAAAGAAACTACTGCAACTAATGAACTGTAACTATGTTCAACCCTTGTTTATTGCTTTAGTATATAAATATCTACCATTTAAATTTTGCTTCATAATTATTTGATGATGATATTTTCAGTCCCAAAGCTAATTAACTTTGTTTTAAACTATTTCAGAAACTGTAGGAAGGAAGCTGATTATTCTCTCAAATATAATTAGTTTGAACATCCATTATAGTGCCAATGAATGAACTGTGCATTTTCCTCTTCAGAAGCTGGTAACCACACCTTGCTGATTTTTTTAAGAAATCCCCTCCCCCCATAATCTTCATTACAAAGTGCTGTTTTAATGGGCGGGGGGAGAGTTGCAAAAACTAAATCTTTCAGAGACAAAGATGTCTCATGTTCAGAAAAGAATTTCTGGTCAAAAGAGAAATTCACCCTGGACTAAGGCAATAATTTGTGATAAAGGCATTCAGAGATGTGGGAGACTGAGGTTTTATTTTTTGCCCTAAGAGTACAGACTAGAGTATTTAGACAGGTATATCAGACTAAAACAGAAAATTTGAAACCTTGAATTCTTCTCTTGCCAGCCCTATTCTTAGGCACAGCTGCAGAATCTAGCTCTAAGTTTTCTCTAAATATTTTGGGCCTAATTCTATAGGTTGTACTCAAACTGAGAAATCACTGGGACTTTCATGCAGAAAGGGGGCAGGTAAAATATGAGACAGAAAAAGTGGGATAAGCCAAAGCAACTCTGAGAACAGGCAGCAGCAGATGAAAATGTATATACTTACTTGTACCGAAGAAACAGCCACTGGATTATCCATAATCCAACTAGTATCATTCCATTTATTTCTGATACAGAAAAAGCCCAATTCACGCGATCAATATAATCAAAAAACTTATCAGGCAAGGGAGGGCTGAGCTCCTTGGGAGGTACCCTCTCATGAACTACGGTGATCATGACAGTTGTTAGAATTAAATTGAAGAGAGCATACACAAAGGCAATGCCTGTTTTCCACCATTCCAAGGGAAATTTGTTCCTAGATTCAGCAGGCATAGAAATCTGAATATAGTCTGGATACTTCTTTGTGCTTTTCCGCAAGCCATTGGATAAACCCTTTGGTTTGCTATTGCCGTTTTTGCTGTCTTCGCTGACAGATAGGGTAGGTCGAGCATAGCCATTTGAGGTCTCATTGTTCTGACCTTCCATGTGCTCTTCAAGCTTTGCTGTCTCAATGGTATCCATTCTCCTGAGACTTTTAGCCAAACCAAGGAATTTCCAATTTTCTGATGCTTTTTAAAATATCTTACTCCTTGAAGTCCAGTTTAAAGTTAACTTTTGCCTTCTAACAAAATCTGCAGAAATTGTCCATTTTGTGTTTTCTCTGATCAGTTAGCAGATCTTTGAAGCCAATCTCACTCCTTCCCAGAGATCTGTTACTATATCATCTGCAAAACAATAAAAACATATTGAGGATCTATTACAGCTGGCAACATGACAATGCATAAATGAAATATTAAAGTAACGTTAGGGATTCTATGTTCTATGGATCAATCCAGTTTACCTCATATATTTGTCAAAGGACACAAAAGAAACCAAGTGACTGTTAGCTTTAGTTTAACAAACAAATAATTTTAATTTGGTTTAATTTGATTGTAGTGATTAGAGATAAAAATGGTGGTTACTATTGAACCTGTCCTTAAAGAAAGGGCTGATAATTATACCACTTTGTCAGCAGCTGACAGCTTATATTTAAGTTTAAATATATCTATTATGTCTGTGGAAATCCACACTTGTAATTCTGCTGTTCACAGCTAGTTTTAAAAAAAAGAGAACCAAAGTTCTGGGGACAGAGTTCTGTGGTGGCTTAAATCTCAATGCAACCCTACACCAAGAAGAATATTGTCAGTGTCACACAGGGTGCTGGTCAGAACAGAATTTAGTCATCTCCATAAATTTAAACAGACAGCCTGCTCAGCCCTAGAGATGGGCCAGAAACTCTGAGCAAGAAGTTCCTTCGGATCAAGCCCTGAGAGATACAGAACAGCATCATTCCAGGAAAGCATGCAAGAACCCTTACAACACTTAAACATAGCAATAGTCTAATCAACTTTTTTTTGCCATCTCTGCCCCCTTCAGCTTCTAGGGGTTTGTTTTGTTTTATGGGACAGTGATTCAATTCAGTGATTTGACTCACTGTTCCAAATCAATTCGGCTGAATCTGATTCAGAGATTCAGCCACCTCCAAATCAAACAGGCCCCATCCCCCGCCCACTCTCCCAGCCCTGTCAATGGCTGCCCTGCCTCACCCCAGTACCCAGGCTCTTAAAAAAAATAAAGAGCTCCACACACTGGCTCCTGCCCGGGGGTGGGGTGGGCGG